CTTCCACGGTACTCTGTACTTGTACTGGCTACTACCTACTACTAAGCGGTTTTTTTCTTGAGTATACCTACCGATTTTTGCGATGATTCATTCAATTCCGTAGTCTGTTTATCTCTCTGCAAAAGTCTCCATATGGAAGAGGCTGCTGATGAGACATACTCGAATTTTTTTAATATCCTTAGCTAAAAAGCTGAAGTGGTACTGACGATCGAATCCGTCAATGCTAGGTTATTCAGACTGGAAGTGTTTAAGGATCGTAAATGAATTTCAAGTAGGATTCAGTTCAAGGCGGCTGGGTATTAGATGCGGTTTTCCGATTTGAAGCGGTCTTTAGTGTCTCTACATATCCATCAAGTTCAGGCAAAATGAAATGATCTCTAGGTTTGGCAAAATGCCGGAAAAACATTGCCGAAGATGGGTCGTCGTATGAACTAGCCTGAGCTTCTTGTGGTTTTCACCGTATTCTTTTTGATCCTCCGACAGCTTCCTACCTTGATTTTACGTTTTCAACATTCTAATTTCCATTTCCATGCTCGATACTGAGGTATTTAATTCTGTCGAAGAAACGGCCTTGTTTGTGTTTTGATCTGATATCGTTCGATTCTCAGGGTATAAAACAGGTTGAGAGCCCGGCCGTGTCCCGCAGACTTCCAGACACTCAATGCTCAACTATCCCCCACCCCCTTCCATCGTTGCGACTTCTCCTTTTCCAGTACTTTTTTGATTTCATGTGAAGACTTCGGAAGAATTTTTAATTTTTATTCTGTAATATACATCTTAAATGAGAAAATACTATATTATCTGCACCAGTCTTGTTGCAGATATTCTACCAGTAATTTAACCCTTTGCCGTTGAATATCGTCAAGTGGAGCGATGCATTGGGATTGGATAGCCGTTTCTTCTCGAAGTTTCCATGCTCGATGGTCGGTCACTGCCATATGACTCATGCCACAGACGTCCAGAATTGGACGGATCACGGTTAGTGGATCGTTCAACTGAAAAATTGGCGATATTTGAGTAAATACAGGACAGTATAGTCGTTATATACCCAGGTAAGGTTATTGGTGTCTGTAGAGATGGTAAAATCGCAATGGATCGACCATGGCCCGGGAATTATTTCTCTGTTAGAAGCACCGTATTGAGAGAATTCAATAGGTGGAAGATTCGGTTCAACTGAGCGGATTCGTATTTATTTGTTTGTTTATTCAATATCGATCGGTAATATAATCATAGACGTGGTAACGGTTAGACACAAAATACTCTCGCCTCTTTACTAGCGGAATTAATTTTTCAAAGTCGAACTTCAGAGCGCAGTGAAGAAGGGCTAGCTGACTTTACTTGTCCTTACAAAAGGTTCTTGGCTCATAGAAATAGTTTTTACCTCGGCCTCAGAAGGGGAGAGCATCTGGATGGGTGAGAAGATATCATCAAGCATTTCTTCGTGCAAAAAGCTGGGATTGGTTAGATTTGGACGTTTATTTGACCCATCCGTTCATTTCCTCCTTTCCTAATAAAGCTAAGTTCGAAGGAAAAATGTATCTTTGCTATAAATCGTTCCATTATGGGATCGCGAAGTGGGCCACTCTTCCCTCTTCGCCCTTTTCCAATCTTCTTCTATGAAGCGCTCAGTGCTGGAGAAGGACGATGCACCTCCTCCCACCTACATTTTTACCGGTCTTATACCCCTATACCGCTCGCGTGATAGCAAAGAGGTTTGCCCTTACTCAGCTCCCGCAACCTAATTGACAGTACCGGTACATGACTAGGAATTGTAATTGAATTTTCGACCAGAAAATGTTAATATATATAATATTTCAGTCTATGCAATAAATTTCTTCGTTTATTCCGAAAGTAATGATGAGTAAGACTACAAAATTCCAAAACTTACCAAATCCTCAGCGTAAGTGACCTCAAGTGCGTAATACTTAAGATTCCTTTGATAGCTAATGATACAGCCCATAATTTGTGCCAAAGCGAATTCAAAATCCGCTTTTGGGCCAATCTTCTGTATCATTTCTGATTCGAGTAATCGCCAACACGTGAAGAAATCACAAATTGCTGGTGAATAGGATAGAAGATTGCATGCCTAAACCATATTCAAAAAATATTGACAAAAATCTTTTGAAGATTAGATCCAATCTGGGAGAAATAGTCGAAAAATGTAGTCTGTGGCGAGGAAATCCTTTCTTTTTTTTTTTGAGTGAGGCTCCTGATTAGGGTAGGGTCGTACTGAAGATAGTAAAGCCATTGACTGACATTTTGTTGACGTAAACATCGTCAGCTACATACATAGAGTCGGCACTTTTACAGAAGAGGAGGGGTTTGTGCGAAACTGACCGAGTGGTTGCAGGAAAGTGGGGTTCAGAAGAAAGTAGTTGGGAGCTCCCATAAGAAAATGAAACAACAAGAACATTGGTGGCAAACAGTCGGCTTTTTTGAAATAGAGCTATGTCTAGTAAGTTTAACTCAGATCAGGGTGAAAGGGAACTCTTTGGTAAAAAACAGGCACGAGTGGGGTCTACCCGAGTAGCCGAAGTTCTAGAAATGAAGATTTACTAACCATGTGTAGAGCTGGCAAATTTTGGGAAGTTGAAGATAGCAGCCTTGGAATGGCTACTGTAGGATCTCTGGCAGTAATAAATAGATGTTGTATAGAGGGCATAGTAACATGAACATAAGGCACGATTTTTGCACAGCATGACCTGAAATTGATGGTTGTAAGGTTTTTGAAAGCTCAACTATCTGTGGAAGAGGTCCTCTTTTGATTTCTCACCAAAATAGCTTTCTATGTCCTATACATACATATTTTCAGCTAAGAAAAAAAAAGCCGAAGGGGACGGCTCTGGTCCTCTCCCGAGGAGGAGTGTGTGGGTAAAAGATTGAAAGCGTAAGCGACACCTGATCAGCCCTTGAAATATCTTGATGACAAACCGTGCTTTCATCACGACGACCTGATCCATTTCGATGTCTCGCATCGAGAATCGTAACGAAGCAGCTGTTATCGATCGCATCGTTTCGATCGATAAATATTGAGCAAGAACGGCTAAGGCAGTCAATACAGGCGGCTCACCAAGAACCAGTAGTCTGGATTCTGTCACATCGACAGAACTCAACAGTCTACCCAGCATACTGCCACCACAACAAGGCGAACTGTGAAGTATGACAACTCGTCCTAAAATGGATAGAAGTGCTAGGTGGATCCAGAACACACAACGTTCTTTTTGGAGGTGTAACGTACCTCTTGATGGATCGATCCTCGATTTTGTTTCAGTCAAAAAATCGCCTATATCCATACGGGCTAGCTTATCAGCTGAATTGTAGCAAAGTGCCGTTAGACGAGATGTCGTGGAAATAGATAGGGAACACTCGTACGGTATCCGAACGAAGTATACATATCGTTCAGTTATGGTATAAATCATCCAACTAAAATAGGTTGAGGTTCTCGGGAAATTTTTGTCGATCATTTTTTCAAATTGACATTTACCATGGTTCGATCAGGTCCTCAATAATTCCAAATCCATCGTTGAATATCAAAAAGTCATGGTCCTGAGCGATGTCAGTGGGATCTAATCGAAACCTGAAAAACAATGAGCTTTTTACTCTTCAGCTCAGGAAATTTGGCAGAAGCTCCCCGGTCCCGCGGAGTTTTACCTCAAGGCCAGTGCATTATTGGACCCCAAAGGTACCCTTGTTTGGGCATACAACCGGAAAAGAACTTTTGAAATGACGTTTTTTTTGCCTTGTAGAGGTTAGCGCTAGGTGGGTACGAATCCACTGGAGCTTGTATCTGATTGAACTCAAATCCTTTTATGGAGCATTTACATTCTTGAACCCGCTAAACTATTTATTTATTTATTTTGCTTTCGTTACCGCACTTTGTATGTAGTAGCCTAATGATCGAGAATTCTTGAAAACATAACAACTTATTTTTGAAATGAATGCGCTTGAACGAATGGCTAGCTTCGTTTCAAAAATTTTCTGAAAGGAAAGAGGTTGGGACCCTTGAGAAATGTGGTTTGAAGTTGTTTGTAGGTTAAAGAGTCACACGGTTTTGATGACAACTTTGTTAGGCTAAGATCTTAGCGGTATCGCAGTTTTCAGAGCTTGGAATGGGCCAAAAACAGTTTTTGAATATTCGATCGATCACAATATTTCCATAGCCCTACTTAGTTTGTGTACGTTAGAACTTTTGTTCAATCCATCAGGTATTGAGTCATGCCGTTACAGCTACAGTGCCACCAAAAAAAATCGAGATTTTTTTTCGTGAATTTTTAAACCTTAATTTTTGTCTGGATAATACTAATGCTCCATCAATCTAATTTGTACCTTTTATAAATATTAACACAATGTCTCTTACTTATAAAACTATCGTTTTTCTGACATACCTTGTTAAAATATTGAAGAACTCCACATTACCAGTCTTCTCATGTTGTAATAATTTCCGTACTAATGTATATAAATCTGATTCTATAAATATGATAGTACGAATAACCCGGTAGAGTGCATAAATTAACAGCTGTAGAGGTAGCATCAAGTAGGGATCAACAACGGACATCTGAAAAAAAGGGATTTTTCCCGAATGAAAAACCTGATCGTCTAGGCCACCATAATTCGCATAAATCGAGCAATTTTCGAGACGACGTCGGTTTATACATATAACAGTTCAATTGATCGATCAAATTTAATATGACGTAAGCGTTAGGAGCAATGGGTATGAGGGTCTTGCATAAAAGTAGACGATAAAAGCGACAAAAATTTCCGAAGAATTGTATCGCGATATTTCTGTAATATTCAGTTTGGACGAATAATGGAAGTGATAGTTCAGAATGGTGCGAAAATGGCGAAGGAAAGGCGAAAATCGGCACATTTATAGAATCATTCGGCTCCAAAAAAGTAGTAAATTATGGGGTTGGACGAGAATGGGGCGTCAAAGGTTGCATGGAAGAGGTATTTGTATAAATGTGTGCGCCAATACGCTGTCTACAGTAAGCTGCCTGCGTGCAACGTGTGCGTCCCGGTGCGATTTCATTCGAAATTAAACAGTACAATTGAATGATTATTATTATGCTAATTGCTAATCCAAGTGTTCAAAAATTTAGGTTAAAGTCTTCAATGCTTTGGAAACCGCTGGCAAAATGGTCCCGTCGGAAACTTGCAAAAAACCCCTTATTTCTAGCACATTCTTCTGCAAATATTTACTTTTTTGCAAAAAAAAACGATATTAGATTAGTAAGAGGCTTGATAAAAACTAAAAACTTGGAAGGTCAATTATTAGTAAGTAACAGTAATCGTAATGGTGCAGTAGCGTGAAATCAATTACAAATAATCACAAAAACTGGTTTGCGATGGTGGGCGAAGGAATGGAGGTGGCAGGAATTTTAATGATATGTCATAGATGATTGATCTGGGCTTTTTACCAGTTTAAAAACTTTATTCAGCTATATTTAAAATTAGATTTTCCTAGGTAGTAATATGTACACAAAAAACCTTATATACCCTCGACAGTAGTCAGAGTATTGAGATGCATGGCGTATTCCAACAGAACTTTTCGGGAATAGCCAGTGATCCTTGGTTTATTGTTGTTTGCTAGCCTTGAACATTCGTTCCTTTTTCATGAATCCGAACACTAATGAAGACATGGCCGTATTCGAGCCATGACGGGGTTTCGAATGTCTTCATGGCTCTAGGTTGTTGACAATATTGTTACACTCTATTATTTCTATCATTAATACTTAAAAACTTAAAATACTTAAAAAATATTTGAAGAATACTTAAAAAATTTCTATAATTATTAACAAGTATAATGTTTAAAAAAATTAGACGCTGTAATATATTAGAATGTTCGATGAAAAGAAAACATCGCAGATTGATCAGAAACGATCAGCGACGTAAAGCAAAAAGAAAAAAGAATCCGGGCATGTTTTTTGACATGCCATTTTTGGTCTCACTTCAGTATTGAGAAATTTCGGTTGCTTACATCTTTAACAGCAAGGAGTGAAAGAGAAAGCGGTGGAGTACTTACTTATATCACTATATAACAAGGGATAAAAACAGCTAAAAACGGCTGTAGCTATGAATGACCTGTTAAGTAAACTGTTTTTCTCTTCGTGGATGAAACTTGAAAAAGGTAATATTATTTTTACTATTCGAATTATTCGATTCACAGTATAGATCTCTAATTTATTTATTTACTTATTTTTTTCACTTAAACATGCTCGAAGGCTTACTATGAACGTAACTTTTCGGAATAATCTTCAATCAAGGTGTAATTTGTGTTTTGGACTATGAAAAAGGTAAAGTAATTTCCAAATTTTGAGAAATCAGAAAAATCGGAACTCTGAAAAAAGTGCAATATAAAAATTTCATATCAAAATGCTTTAGCAAAACAGTTCAAGAAAAACCAAGGTTCCATGTTCCGTGGCTATTTTTCCAATCCTAAGTTGGGACGTTTTGAGCTGGGTTCCATGTTCCGTGGCTATTTTTCCAATCCTAAGTTGGGACGTTTTGAGCTGGCTCTTCAGTGTGGCCTGTACAATGAAGGATAGCAGAGGAAGTACAATGTACAATACTTCCTGGTATTTAGTGATAATAACAATGAGCATACTTCTTGGTAATTAGTGATAATAAAAAATATATAGTGATAATAACAGCTAGAGCTAGGACTTCCTTGTGTTGTTATGAGCAAATTGCTCCTGTCGTAGGAATGAAGAGTTTTGACATGAACTTGAAGAACATCAGAACAGCTGCTATACGGATTATTGGGCGGAAACGACGTAGGCGACGAAAAATGAATGAAAAGGCCCCTATTCATAATGATAGGGCAGGTCTACTCCCTTGGCCCTATGCTACGCAGAGCACTGCAAATTAAATCAAGTATTGAATAGCAATAGTATTTGTAATAGTAATACAAAATATAAGTATTTAAATTGATAAACGATGATTCTCCATTCCACGAAAAATTAAATTTTATTTTCAACGATACATAGAATAAGGTAGTGTTAGAGGTTTTTCTTGGAACGTATTTGGTCGTTTGAAGAGGTCTAAGCTTATCGGGAGAAAAGAGAGAGCTATTCATTCAGTTTGGAGTTTCCAAGATTTTTTGCTTTGGCTCAATAATTCAATTTGAGAGAGTAAGAAACATTTAAAGGTACCATTGCCGAGTTTTTTTCTCAAATGAATAATAATTTATGAAAAAATGGGATAAACTCATTGAATTCGGATTTACAAATAGAAAATAAGTTCATTTTTTTTTCCTGTAACCCTTTTTTACAGATTTCTTTCCAGGTAAGAAGGGGTTTTCAAATTCTAGGTCCAATAAAGTTTGTCCAGCAGACATTTTTTTTCGGTTCGAGAGCTTCGAACAACCAAGCACTTATTCGCCTGAGGTTTGGACCAATGTAGTTACGCAAAAGTAGTCCAAAACATTACGTAGGCTTCTTTGGCTATCAAAGTGTTGTTTACCTTGGGCCCCTTCCGCAGAACCAAACTGTCAACAAGGAATGTTATGGGGGCATTTTATTTTATGGGACATAAAGCTATCCGCAAAGAGTGCGCAGATATGTGAAACGACAATTTCTCGTTTTTTTTTTTGTCTCAGCGGAACTTCGTCTCATTCTATAATGTGCTTTCGATCACGGTCAAGCTGTCAACGAGAAATACTATTAACATTTTTATGGAAAAAGCTTAGTTCATAAAATTACAACTTTTGTTTTTTCACCTCCATGAAATTTCGTTCAGAAACTAATTAGCTCTTATGTTAGAATTTGGGGCGTTGGCTAGAATATCTCACTAGGTGGGCGAATGGAGTGGTGCCAAGTGATACACTATCACAGAAATGGTCAGAAAATCGAGTACCAGCTTGATACCTGTATAGGACGCAGTGGCTCTGTTGATACTAGGCTTGTATGGGAGGATAAACGCACTGATCTGTGCATCGGTTGGCACTCAAGCTTATTGTATAGACCGCATACGCATTCAATACACCACCACGATTCTGAATGAAATTCGGACGCGGAACGCATCACTGGAAGGGTACTGTTTGACACCGAAAACTATTAAACTCTCAATCTACACTCTGCAATCCCTTCCGTACATGCCCATGCCACCCAGCCATTTTATTTCCAATCGAAAGTTTCATTATTCAATCAGGCAATACTGGGTGATGGGCAAAGGTTCAGGGGAAGGGTGGGAGTATAAACGCAGAAACTTCACTCTCAAAATGCATGAGCTTCTGAAGCCATCTCAGCTGACATATGTAAGATGAAGTTACAAGGAAAAGTGCAATTGAACCTGTCCAGTTGGTGTCATTTTCGATGTCAAATTGATTGATAGCTCTATAAATAATGACCAGAATTTTCTAAAATCAAATGGCCTCCCATCTCTGGCTTCATAATATTTTTCAGCAATCCCTCAATAATTTTCAAACATATATATATACTTTTTCAGCCGTGGGAATCGTAAAGTCAAAATTACTAAACGGCTGGACGTTTCGAGCAGTTCGCCGGTCTTAAAATTTTGCCATTATACGTTTTGCAGGAGCAGATTGACGTCGCTGTCAGTTGTTGTTAAGAAAGACATAGAAAAACGTTGAAGAATCTTTAGTTTCCTAATAAAAATGCAATTCGACAACAACATTGGCTTAATAAGCGTATTATAAATTGAAATGTCTCAAGGGGGCCAAAGTTCCCGCACCTGCTGGCCCCCCGAGTCTGTTCGGGGCCAATTCGGGCTCATTCGAAGGGACAGTGCCCATAATTTATAAGAAATTCGTTAGCTGCTTTTTAAATCTACATGTTTGGTCTCAGGGAGAAGAAATTCGATCGGCTCTACGGCGTACTGCATGGTAAACCGCTGTCCAGAAAGAAATATGGGAAATTTGTCCTCGCATCCACTCAGACAAATTATCCAGTCAATAATTAATGTACTGATAATAATTAATGATAATTATGGTTAACCTGTCCTGAATTGATGTTCTCGATGGTAATAATCATATAACGTCTCGTGTTTTAGAAAGATACAGAAAAATGTTGAAAGCACATAGTTTGCTATTCAAACTGCAGCTTAACAACAGAGAAAGCTCACTCGCTACCGAGCATGATCTTGTGCACCCTACGGAGCCTGTATAAAATGGACCAATCTCTCGTTTCATGAATTATATATTTAGATAGTTAGTATTTTTTCTATTTTATAATTCATGGTAATTACTAAATTTTAGTCATTTTTAGTAATTTTTAAAGGTTTACATACTTTTGAAGCCAAAGAGGTCGTAAAGTCAAAGGCACTTAACGGTCGAACGTTTTGAGCAGAACGCCGGTCTTAAAATTTTGCCATTACACGTCTGCAAGAGCGGATTGACGTCGCTGTCAGTTGTTATTAGGAAAAACAAAGTAAGAATTTGGAGATTTTTTAGTTTGCCAATAAAAATGCAGTTTAACAACAGCGTTAGAACAAAAAAAAAAGATTTAAAGTTGAAATTTTGCAAAGGGATCAAAGTTCTCATACCTTTCTGCCCTACAAAGTTGGTCGGTGCCA